TCACCCGTTGAAGCTGCACAAAGAGCGTTCTGACCGGGTAAGGACGGAAACTCGATTGACGCGTCGAGTTATTGAACGTTGGAACTCGCTTCCGGCACACGTAGTTAGGGAGCCTACGGTAGAGGATTTCCAGCGTTAGTTAGATGCTCTTGGGTGGCAATACCAAACCTTCCCCTTCTCCTACCCGAATTGTATCCTCAACTTTCCCTTCGTTGTTTTAATTTTCTTCTCACCTTTGTTTAACCATTATTTAGCTGACGTTCCTCCTCTTGTTTTCTTAGCTTACCCTTCACTCTTTAACTTCACATAAACCGGCCTGGCAGGGACTGCTGGGCAGGAAAATGTGGACAATAATTGGTTGGACAGGGTGTGATGCGGTCTTTGTTTTAGGCTTTTCAACATCTCAAGCAGACCTGTCAATTCCCGAGCCAACGATACACAAAAGAAGGAACATTCACGGGATTATCCTTTCGTTCCGGTCCTAACTGAGCTTGAACTTGAACTTCCTTATGTCACTAACTTTACCTCAGTAAAATCTTAACTCATCATAGCCCATGTTAGGACAATTTGACGCGGTAAATTCGAATAAGTCGAAAATTTTTGGTTGGCTATTCAGTTTTGCTATATCGCTTCCATTAACCCTATCATACCGTTTGTGATATTTAATTATATCACACCGTCATCTTATAACCGTACATCGGGTTTTCTTTTGGACTTTTGTCCAAGTCCTCACTTGTAACGTTGTGGTATAGTGCTCCATTTTTCTGTATCATGGTACCTAAACGTCTCGCAGCTATGAGGCGTAACAGACAAAGAGTGAAACCGGCTACAGTCCACACTGTTAAAGACAACTCGGCTTTAGCGGATGTGGGCGATGTCGAACACATGGACCAAATTGACACCATCGTGGTGGCCAATAGTTCCAGCACAGGGATTGGTAATATAGAGCTTGTAAATCATGCATCAATTCCTGACATAGCCGCTATCATTCCTTCTCAGGAATGTAAGGTCATGCTTAATGACCCTCTTAATGAAGCGATGCTAAAAATACACGCACTTGAAAACCAAGTGAATTCGCTAAAAAGCGACATACAGAACATCAATGAGACCTTGATGAAGGTGATGCCCCTAGTACACCTATCGGGCATACTAAAGCCGCAAAACTCATCAGATCTAAACCAAGCTGGTATGCTTCTGAACGTAATTGCCCAAGAGGCAAAAGAGCGTTTGCGCCGCGCCAGTAATGCCATACTATTTAATGTCCCTGACCGGTTACCACTTGGAAATTTGCTACGCAAGCTTCTAAACGTCTGCAAGCTGCCGTTAGATTGCTGCACTGCTAAACGATTAAGAAAGATTCCCGGACGTACTTGTCCTGTCATGCTTAGATTTATAGGTCCTGAGCTTGCATCACGCTTCATGGCCTCCAGCTTTCTCATCAAACAACAGGTTAATTTCGGGGCTCTACAGATCAGAGAAGACATGACCCCCCTGCAAAGATCAATGGCACGTACCTCTACATCAACATCCAACATGAAAGCCCGACCCAAAACTAAAGATGCATCGCTTGTCACCTGCTTTACACCACTGTGTACTGTTGATTTAGATGCATCACAACAACGACAGGATGTCTCCCCTAAAGTGACTACACCCAACTCGGGCTCAAAACAAGATACTGCAACTTTTGCAGAAAGCGAAACATTCAGAGCGTTATCGAACAGTGACTCTGATATGTGCGATACTGACACGGAACCAGCATCTCTGTCTATCGTTTCGCCCATTACTCCCATCATCAGGAGTGAACGCAATAATGCAGAAGAGTCTTGCGGAAATCCGCCTATACCCTGTAATGCACGCCAAAGGTGTCTGCTGCCCACACCTACAACGAACCGAGCAAAGATCCGCAGGATCCACGTAACCCAGCTCCACAAAAATGTTAACAAGGATGAACCTGAGCACCGGATGGTACACGCCAACGCTTGGACTCATGCGTGGCAGCCAGCAACTGAGAAACCATCTTCCTCAAGATATCAGTCTTCGATGGGGTCTGCGAACATGGCTAGGCTACAACAGCCACGAGTAAACCGTTACCTACTTGAAGCTCCCAAGTTAGGAGCCCGCGCCCCGACTCACCAACAATCGTCCAACACACCTGGCTCGATACCATCTATTCCTGGCCATAGTTCTTACGGTACTCCCCATCGTACAAGAAGTACCAAAGCTGCAGGCGCCACTATAAACAACCACTTTCCAAAATCTGGACAACCCCAGTTTGTGAATCTACATGACATAACCGCACACAACACGGCCCCCTATACCACCGTCCCTTTTTATGGGACACTACAAGGTATGGTCCACTGCACCCAACTCATCAAGAGCTAGCGCCTTCCCTACTTTATCTCCGAAATCTTCTATGTTCATTACAGCCCCCTCCAAACCGCTGGTTTCAGCCATTCGGGTAGATCCAGCAATTCCCAAGTTTCCTCTTGGCATTTCGATGGCAAATACTCAGCAGTATCAAACTTTGTCATCCCCTGGTCTCACATATGCGCAGCGTTCACCTAATATACGCAACTCTATCTCCCCCAACACCTCGCTGCCCCCTTCTCTCCCACGAAAATGGAAATTGCCCACGTTTGCCCGCAGTCAACGCTCTCATATAGCGATCCGCTTTCGCCCTCAAAGTACATTGATGATCCGGTCTTTCCCCCATCGCGATGTTCCATCCATCCACTCTCGGTCCATCCTAGGGACCACATTAGCCCCCCCATCTCCGTCTTATTGCCACCAACCCAACCACGCACAGGAACTGACAATAAACTACCGCATGATCTACATGCCGACGAAAATAGTAATGCTCCTACTACAACAACCTCCTTACGTGGCAGTATAAAAGTTACTGCGCAAAGGAATGAGCCGTTAGACCCATTACCTTTCCGAAGCTTTATTTCGCAGTCGTCTAATAACTCCCTAGCAGACAACCTGTGGGATCACAATAACCTATATGGCAAGACACCTCAGTGCACCTCCCCAGATCGCTGTGAGGTACTAACTGCAACAAGAGTATTGCCTGCACGTGAAACATCTGCCTCACTCTATACGGACTCCTCCGTTATGACACGCAGGGATTCTACACTGGACCCCGACCTCACTCTCTCTAAGGATGTACGCAGTCGAACCTGCAGTATGCTCCTTATCAATGCAAGATCCATGAACCACAAAATGCACTACATCGGTCCTTTTGTTCTTCTCTCCTCTCCACAAATCGTTCTGATCACAGAAACATGGCAATCCTCAAGCACCCCTGACAACAACTTAAATATCCCCGGGTACACCACGTTCTGCAATGGACGCAACAACCAACGCGGAGGAGGATGCCTTATTTACTTAAGGGACGACTTTGGTGCCTCTGAATTTGAGTTGTTACCAATTGGAGACCCAGAGGATTCAATCTGGATCCAGACCAATGGGGGTACACTTGACCTCCTTATTGGTTGCGTATACAATCCCCCACATGCCTCTAATACCAAGATTAATGAACTAGTAAACCTCTTCAATGACGTCTCCACAATGTCCCCACGCTACAAGATAGTGGGTGGTGACTTTAATATGCCACATGTCTCTTGGAATGGCCAGAGTGCACCTCTCAAATACAGAGGCTTTGTTGACACAATCTATACGAACAATTGGATTCAACACGTCCATGTTCCGACGAGGCTGTGTAATACTCTTGACTTAATTTTTACGCTTGGCATCTTGGATGCTGTTACTAGCATTAAAGACAACATCCCAGGAAGCGACCATAAGGTAGTTCATCTATCATTTACGCTCTCTGTCTCATCCTATCGCTCAATTAGTCTAACTGGTGAATCGCGAATGTTTAAAAGCATTAACTGGGATAACTTTTCTCTGCTTGTCCGATCAGCTAACTGGGATACCTTTTTCTTGTCCACTGATGTAGCGGCTTGACGAATGCTACACAAGAAAACCGTAGCCCGGTGAGACAGAAGACGGCGGGATATAAAGATTGTCTTGAGAAAATAGCTATGTACAATAGCTAGGTGAATATAGCTTGAGGACAACGGGAAAAATGGTGAAGCAATAAGTAACACCACGTAGGAGCGCAACAGCCGGCAACGCGCGGGCAAGATGGCGGAACTGGTTCAAAATTGCAGTCCAGTATATATAGGCTTGGGATGGGTGCAAAGTAAAACAAAATGTGCACAAGTCTGAATGTGATGTTTGATGGGGTAAAATGTCGTGGTCACTACACAGGCCTCCCCCTAGAAGGCCGAGGGACGAGGACTTCGATCGCTGTTGGCTTGCAAATGTATAAAGGCAGAATCACAGGAGTTCGGTTGTATTTGGATTATTTACTCTTCTTGTGGATTGGAATGCATCATCGGTGGGCCGTCCCAGCGGGCACACCGGACTACAAAAAACTGGATAATCCAGAAAAAGGGCCGGTAGGACCTTTCACCGCTGCTGAAGGACGGTGCGCTTGGGAGAGGTCACTCCCTCCACCGCATTCCAATCCACTGCCACAACGAAGCTGAAATCCTGTTCGTACCGGCGAGCCGTGGGGGGACCAAAAACAACGAGCCAGGCACACGAGCAGCCAAAGCCAGGAAGGCGAGCCAGACAAACGACCAAGGCGAGCCAAATTGAGCCAAGCAGACCACGATCCAAAGGCCAACGTGAGCGGGCGAGACGACAAAGCGTTGGGGGTAGACCAAAGCATCCAAACGACCAAACAATTGAGAAACAGCCAAGCATTGAACGGACGGACCCAAACGTGCCAGCCTCATGACTTTACCTGATAGATGGGGGAAAAAACTCGGGGAGACAGATTCAGATATTTACGGAAAAGCATAATACAAACGATGAGAGAAAATGAAAAAGATTCATGAGGTGTGGATGAATTCGACAAAATCGGAGAAACGAACAGGTTGACGAACTCTTCTACCGTGACTGGTATTAGTTTGAGGCGAATCGGACGACTGGGATTGTGGTGGAGCTGTAAAGCTGGGCGTCGTTACAGGTGGCTCTGTAGATTGCGTTAAGGTCGATGACGAGTCGAGGGCATAAACTAAAGGTTTGTGGTCAGTAAAGACGGTAAAGCTTCTGCCCTCTAGAAAAGGACGAAAATGACGGATGATACCAAGTTCGAGCATGTGCTCGAATTCCGCCTTAGCGGCTTTTAGCTTATCATGGGCGAGACGTCGTGGCCGTGCAGAAACCGGTGGGCCACGGGTTCGTATATGGTGCGTAACGCTAGATGCGACCGGAAGAGTAGCGTCAGCTGAGCGGACGAGCTGCGGAAACTGTCTGAACAGATCTAAAAATTCCTTATCAGCTTCAGGCTGAATGTAAATGGGAGTGACAGAAACACAAGGTGTGCGAACTCCACATGTGAAAAGCTGGGTCTTTTGGTCAACGAGTTTGCGATGACGCGCATCGACGAGAAGATCGAAGTGTTGGAGGAAGTCAATACCCAATATAGCAAATGGAACAGCAGCGATGGTGAAAATCCATCGAAAGGGACGTCGTAGTCCGAGATCAATGGTAAGGGAGCGTTGACCGAAAACTCGGATAGCGGTGCCGTTAGCGGCACGCAAGTTGGTTGTCTGTGGCTTAGTCGCGTCGCCTGGAACCGGTGGGATCACGCTAACTTCCGCCCCGGTATCAACCAGGAACATGATCCCGGTGTGCCTATCAACGATTTTGAAGAGGCGATTTGGACGACTTCGGCCGACGGCGTTCGTCGCCAATACGTGTCGGCCTGTCCTTTTTCTCGTTACGGGAAATGAGCATGGTTTTATACAATTTCTAGCGGAACTTCAAAACGTGCGTGCTAACGGCAAATTGGGAGTCGTGTTCGTCTTCGAGATGGGCTAGGGGAACGGCATGGAGAATCCCGTGGGTGCCGATGTAACTTTACGTTTTGAACTTCTTGCCGTAGCGCGGCTATCTCTGCTAAGAGCTCACCAGTCGAAGGTGGAGTAGCTGTGTCGATGGTTTGGACCGAAGGGTCAACAATAAAAACTACGTCAGGTGAGCGAAGAGAACTAGGTGACGGACACGGTGGTCCGGTGAAGCGCTCCATCATGTCATCAGCAATATCTGCAACTTCTGACAAAGGCTGCGATTTCGCAAGCGATAGCATGGTTTGTACGTTTTCAGGCAAACGCTGAAGCCATAACTCTCGAGGCAGTGACTCATCCATATGTGATCCTTGAAGAAGACCACGCAGCTCTAACAACAGCGCGGATGGCTTACTAAAACCTAGCTGTAGACCAGTAAAAAGTTTATGCAGGCGGGACTTCAATGAGGGAGTAACACGCTTTATTACCGCGTTCTTGAGAGAATTATAGCGGTCAGGAGGACAAGATATAATAATAAGATCACGTAGAGCTAAAGTAATATCAGTCGGCAGGCGTGTTAGCAAGTGATTAAACTTTGCAGAGTCATTTGTAACATGCTTAGAAGTAAATTCAGCTTCTAAAATCATGAACCACAAAACGGGATCCTTTTCAATAAAGGGTGGAACTACGAGAGATACCGCTTGCACAGGCTGTGGGTCCTCACACTTTTTAGAAACTGAGGTCATGGTTTGCGTGAAAAACCAAAGAAATGGAACGAACTCAACGGAATGCGATTGGGGTCACCAATTATGTAGCAGATTGACGAATGCTACACACGAAAACCGTAGCCCAGTAAGACAGAAGACGGCAAGATATAAAGAATGTCTTGAGAAAATAGCTATGTACAATAGCTATGTAAATATAGCTTGAGGACCGTGGGAGAAAATGGTGAAGCAATGAGTAACACCACGTAGGAGCGCAACAGCCGGCAACGCGCGGGCAACATGGCGGACCTGGTTCAAAATTGCAGTCCAGTATATATAGGCTTTGGACGGGTGCAAAGTAAAACAAAATGTGTACAAGTCTGCATGTGATGTTTGATGGAGTAAAATGTCATGGTCGCTACACAGGCCTACACCAAGAAGGCCGAGGGACGAGGACTTCGATCGTTGCTGGCTTGCAGATATAAGAAGGCAGAACCATAGGTGTAGCGACCTGGAGGTTCGCCCGTATGACTGTGTAAACTATTCTAAACTACATTCAAATTATAGCTTTCTTATGTATTAGGGAACTAGCCGGTTTGCCTGTTGGAACATTGTTCCCGTTTGTTGAAAACACGAACGCCATCTCGGCCTTTGGCGCGCGGCTCGACTGCGACCGACGCTCCGTCTACGCTCTCGACGCCAACGACATTCTCCCTAGCTAGCTCTCTCTGGGTGCCCTATTTTTAGCATTAGCTAACGCTCCTCCCGTCCAATAAACTTCTCCCATAGCTTACTTTTGTGTCTTCTACCCACCGCTTTTGGTTGGCCGTCTAGTCGCGTACCGGATATATAGCGCACGATCTACGCGCTATAATTGGTGACCCGGAAAAAAAAATTATTTTTGGTGAGTTCGGTACTAATAATTTTTTTCAGATCCGGTTATTTATTCAGTCTGCCTTTCTACTTTTTCTCTTTACTATTTGTGTTCACATTCACACGCTCCGGAATTATTTCATTAGGAAGGTCAGTCGCCCAGATTCTGACTATCAGGTTTGTGGGTTCCGTTTCCCTCTTCCGCCTTTCCGAGAGACTAACCCTAAGGCCTGGTTTAACCAGCTAGAGTCCATTTTTTCGTTACATGGCGTTAACTCTGACAGCGACAAATTTCACTGCGTTGTCGCCGCGCTTCCCCCGCAAGTCGTTGATGACCTCGACGACATCTTGGAACTTCCGGAACATCAGAAAAGTTACGATGAGCTTAAGGCCGTCGTCCTAAAGCAATCTGGCATATCAGACCATGCTCGCGTCACGCAGCTTCTTAATGAAACCGAGCTAGGGGATCGAAAGACTTCGCAGTTGCTGCACAAGGTGCAAGCTCTAGCTAAGCCTCTCGCTGTTGGCGACTCTTTCCTTAAAGAATTGTGGCTTCGTTGCCTGCCACGTGACATGCGCAATCCCTTGTATGCAAACGATGCGCCTCTTCCTCAGCTCGCCGATATTGCCGACCGTATTTGGGAATCCAACGCCCAAATACCTCAGGTTCAGTCTACCTCCAGTACAGAGGTAGCAGAACTAAGAGCGCAAGTATCCGCATTGACCAATCGACTAGAGAAGCTAAGACAATCCGGATCCAACCGTCGAAATCGTCCCAGTAGTCGCAGTCCTCCTAGATCACGTTCGAAATCTCCCCCTAGGTCAAGCCATTGCTGGTACCACGAGCGATTTGGTCATCAGGCCAGATCGTGTCACCCACCTTGTTCTTTCAAGCGCAACATGCAGGGAAACGGGTAGGCCAGCACGTAGGGGCGGCGGACATTGCTGGCTGCCCCAGTCGCCTTTTCTTTGTCACCGATCGCAGTACGGGAGTACGCCATCTGGTTGACACCGGCGCAGAAGTCAGCGTTATCCCACGTGATTCTAATGACGGTATCGAAGAGGCGACCGGTTCTTTGCGCGCTGCAAACGGCAACACCATTCGCGTGTATGGTCAACGCTCGCGCACGCTTAATCTAAACCTACGACGTTCATTTAAATGGATCGTCGACGGGCGGTGCCTGCTGGCGCAGAGTACAACGAACACCGCCGGTCTATTACGCAACAGCTGAAAGCAAGCCTTCGCTCTGATCGTGAATCTTGGTGGTCAAAACAAGCTGGTGAGATGGAAGCCGCTGCATCAGCTGGCAACTTCCGCCGTCTGTTTTACATCATCAGGGCCACTGGTTGCAATTTGCACGCTATCAGCCAGACGATTTGCGAGGCAGACGGCACGAAGATCACCAACCTTCGCAGACGATTGGGTCGCTGGTCAGAGCATTTCGCTCTTCAGTTCAACCACCCAACACAGTCCCCTGCGACACCTCCAGCCCCAATGTATGATGCTTGGCCTGTCGCCACAGCCCCCCCAAATGAAGCAGAGATTCGAAATGTAGTCCAATCTTTGAAACGTCACAAAGCTTCGGGTCCCGACAACCTACCACCAGCTCTATTCAAAGATGGTGGGAGTGTACTTATCAGCGAAATCCTATCGCTGTTCACGAAAGTTTGGACTGAGGAGTAGGTTCCGAGCTCATGGGGAGAATCGGTCATTGTCCCAATTCACAAGAAGGGTTCCCGCGCCGATTGCTGCAACTACCGCGGAATCTCCCTAATCTCTGTCGCATCCAAAATCTTCGTGTCGGTCCTACTTGGCAGGCTTTCAACGACTAGAGAGGAGTTTTCCCGAGAAGAACAAGCTGGATTTCGTCCAGGCCGTGGCTGCATCGACCAAATCTTCACGCTTCGGCAAGTTCTCGAACTTCGTCACATCCACCGGCGGCCAACAATCGTAGTGTTTTTGGACATCCGAGTGGCATTTGATTCAGTAGATAGGTCTGCGTTGTGGAACTGTTTACTGAAGAAAGGTGTGCCCGACAAGTTTGTAACCATCCTGAAAGTACTTTACAGTCACACGTCGGGCAAAGTTAGGGCTTACGGCACGCACTCCTCTTCATTCGCTGTGACCAGCGGTGTTCGCCAAGGTTGCCCTATTTCACCTTTCCTCTTCAATTTCGCCATCGAAGATGTTCTCCAAAGAGCACTGGAAGGTGTCCAGGACTGCGGTGTTGAGCTTCTCCCTGGAGACAGACTCACGGACTTGGACTGTGCCGATGATATCGCCTTGCTGGGGGACGACCCACAATCCGTCCAGAACGCTCTGGACCGCTTGGCGATGGAGGCGTCTAAGTACGGCCTGTGCTTCACTCCGGGAAAATGTAAAACGCTGCTCCAGGATTGGCAGGTGCCTGAACCCGCGCTCACCATTGCTGGACATGTTCTGGAGCAAGTCCCTTGCTTCACTTACCTAGGGAGTTGCATCACGGCTGGTGGCGGTGTTGCAGATGAAGTCTCACAACGGATTGCAAAGGCCCGCCTTGCATTCATCAAACTGAGACATCTATGGCGTCGTCGTGATGTCACTCTCAAGCTCAAGGGCAGGGTGTACAATGCTTCCGTCCGTACAGTACTCTTGTACGGCTGTGAGACTTGGCCTATTCGCTCGGAAGATATGAAGCGGCTATCAGTCTTTGATAATCGCTGTCTACGAAGGATTGCTAGGGTGTGGTGGCAACACCACGTAAGCAACGCAGAGGTGAGAGACCGCGTGCTTGGGGCGAATAGTGCCAGTCTTCAAGACCTTATTCCCGGACATCGCATGCGCTGGCTCGGACATGTTCTGCGCATGCCAGCCCATCGCCTTCCACGTCGAGCGCTATTTGCACTCCCAGGGAGCGATTGGAAAAAGTGCCGCGGTGGACAGCCGATGACGTGGAGAAGGAGTATGAAGAAGGCGACCTCAAGTTTGGCAGCGGTTGGCCCAGTCCGCCTTCCAGGTTGGGGACCACGAGATGCTGAATTGCAGTGGTTGGAAACATTGGACGTCATGGCCCGCAACAGACATCAGTGGCGGCAATGTTGTTCCGCAATTTCACCATCCCTTTGATACACACAAAACTCACAAAACAAAACAAAAAATACAAAATGGCGTGTGTAAAACCAAAAAAAATGCGTTTCCCATACTTTTAATCGCATTAGTGTCCCATCTTCTTCACCTTTTTCTTCTGCCATGGTTCTGATGGCACAATGTCTGTTAACAGACTGTGAATATATATATATACATATATATATATATGCGGTCAGGTTTTTGAATCAAAGGCTTGGGTTGGGAACGCTAATCGTTCTGCTGTCTAGGCCTGGGAAACCTGACAGTATCCTGCCCACGCAATAAAATGAATCTCTCGGCAAACAA